TATATATATATTACAAATAGCGGTATACACGGCAGTTAAAATTATCGAATATTTCAATATTTATAGCTCTTTTTAGACTGAAATAGGTAGACCTAAAAAAACTTAAATTTAAATATTCTGTATATTTGAAGTGTCAAAGGCATAATTTTATGACATTTTTTATTCATTGTATATTGTTTGTCATTGACACTATTTTGTATTATCATATCATTTTGTATTATTATGTATATGCCTTACTTTTTTTTGCTATTACTAACAGATTAAGTTTGGGTATTTTTTAAAAAAATAATTAGGCAAAAGATGTAAAGCACTTTTTTTTATTTAGAGCAGTGTTTCCCAAAGTACGGCATGCGTACCCCCAGGGGTACGGGAACAGTTTAGCGGGGGTACACGTTCTTATGTGAAATATCTTGCAACAAACGAAAATTTCATAAAATTTTATTTAAAAACTAAGCTAGCCATGAAAATTTACGACTACGTATTTTTCTATTGGCTATTATCTGCAGAGTTAACAGTTAATAATTAGTGATGTCAACAGCCAGTTGCGATTTTTAACTTTTGAGCAATTTTTTTACAATAAGAAATGCATTCATTTTTTTTATTAGTGGTACATAGCGTTACGAAAAACTTAGAAAAGGTACACAAAGTCATAAGTTTGGGAAACACTGATTTAGAGCATTAAAAAGTAGTTCTTTTTTACGAATTTGCTCAACAGAGTGCAGCACTATTTGTAGACATTTATTGAAGCTTTGTGTAAAAACATCTTTCAAGTGGATTTTCCTAGCCCTGTTCATCTTAACATCTAGTTTGAATAATTTCGTAGAAATATATTTCCCTTTAAAACATGTATATTTTTTTAAATTTTAGAAATAATCTAGAACAATTGTGCATAAAAAAAAAAGAAAAAACGAGAATGATTTTTAAATTTAACAGCTTGATTTAAAGTTATATAATAGATTAATTATGTTGATCTCAGTAAGTAAAAGTTCATATTAATAAAAGAATAATTATCAACAATAGAAATTAATATTTATAGGACAATGTTTTTGAAATTGAAATAGTTTTCCACCTCGATCTGATGTGATAAAACAGCAGATGGCAGCACCAACAGTTTCACTTTTCTGTTTTCTGAAGAGTGAAATAAGTACGGAGCGGTTTTGAATATATAATAAAATTACGATGTTATTGCACCCTCTTTCTTTATAAACAGTCTTTATTTTTATTTCTTAGAACCAACAAATTTAAATTTATTTGTTGTGCTTTTTCAGAGCATTCTTTCACCGCATCTTTATATTATTTGTATGTTTTTTTACGCATTTTTTTTCCTCTTTTATTTACTTCACATGTATATTCAGCAGAAAGGTTGAAAAAAAGGTGTATTTTTTAAAATTTTATTTTAAAGTGGAAGGACTAAGGGACCCACAAATCTACCTCCATGATAGTTATTTAATATTTTATTGTAATGCTTGGGCAAAACATGACGCTTTTACACTGATTTTTCATTTTGTTAATGACAATCGTCTTTTCACTATTATTTATTTTAATCTAAAAAATGCGATGAAAGAAATAATTCGAATATCTGCTATGTCCGAAATATGAAATAAAGTGCTTAGAATAGAGGCAGAAAAATCTTAAATTTTCTGGAGTATTAACTAGAAGCTATTAAATTGTTTTATTGTTTTTTCATAATTTATGTTTTGCCTTGATAAAAATTAAGAGAAAAAATGGCTGAAAACTCAACAGTAACGATGCATTTTTTCTATAAATTAAATTAATTAGATCAAATTGAATCTTAATGAAATCATAAAATAATTAAATTAATAAATGCTTGTGAAAATTAGAATGTTAGTACAACTAAATTATAAGACTTTGCTGGTTAATTATAGATTCCTCTTTTTTTTAGATTTAGAGATAATGTTTTTTGAGTGATATTGGATTGATGATGCCATGGATTGTTGCTGATAATGCCTTCTTCAGAGCTCTTTTTCAGATAAACATAGGACAAACTATGATGTTTTAAGTTGTAAAAATATTTTTTCAAAAAATCTAATTGCAAATAAATTATTGCAGGAGTACTTTCTCATTGCGTAATCCTAACATAATTTGTTTTCATTTTCATAATTCGAATTTTTTTTTCACGCTATAAAATTTTATGGTTTACGCTAGGTTTATGTGAAGTTAATTTTTCTATGTTTAAATTACTTATGTCAGTGAAAACGAATTTAGCAAAAAGCATTTTTCCCTTCCGTATACTCGTCAACCCGAAGCAAAGCTTCAAATTTTTACTGTATATATTATTAGAGAGCTAAATCAGAAAATGAAAAATTGTTAATTGCCCAATAGCCAGTAGTACCATTTTTGACAGTGGCTACTCATGAAAACATATGACCACTTTTTCTAAAATTGAAAACTCCAAACAATTAAAAAACAGTTGTAAGGCATTTCTTTTAAAGTATTTCTTAAAATATGATAAACACTACAATTTTCATTTCTAAAATGAAGAAGGGAACAAACATGTAGGAAAGTGATTTTCAGAATATTATCAAATATTCATTATTCCCTATTATTAATAAAGTAATAATAATAATAAAATGCACATTTTTCACCCAAAGTGGCGATTGTCAGAAAATTTTAAATGCTATTTGTTATATTTAATCGCCATGGCGGTCACGACCGTTACGTTTGTTCTACATTTATTATCATGCTCCGAGAGTAGTGATGGCTCAGGGGATAGAGCGTTCGCCTTTTAATGAGGTAAACCGGGTTCGAATCTCAGCGATGACTGGTCTATACAGATTCCGCATTCGGCTTGCACCGATCACAGTGCTGACACAAAAATAACCTCAGTGGTAGATGGATCATGAGTTAGAGTCCCCTTGCTGTCAGGCTAACCGAGGAAAGTTCTCGTGGTCTTCCACATTATGAAATGCAAATGTTGGTTAGTTCTATCAAAAAGTTCTTCACGAAGGCAAGTTTCTCCCACTATTTGATTCAGTAGTTTCCTTTCTATTCTGGATTGGGTTCAAAATTACAAGGCTACGTAGTTGAACATTAGTAGTCGTAAACCCAAAAGTTGAGTCAGCTGTTCAACGACAGTTATAATTATAATATCATGCTAAGAAGTATTTTCCAGATGCAAAGCTCAAAAATTATTATTATTGTTTTAAATCATCCAGATTGCGTGATTTTTCCTTTTAGAGATAGATCGATAATGAAAATCGATCTTTATGAGACGAAGCAATTTAGAGGAGCAATTTTTCAAATTTTAAAAAATTATATCACATTCCCTCATTTTTAAAAAACCTTGTCATTTTGCGTCAATGCTCTGCGCTATTTTCAAAATTTACCTAGAGGGCGCTCGAAATCTATGAACGAAACTTAAGAGCAGGTTTCAAACTCATAACAGTTATAAGAATAGCATATTAGTCGCTGAAAAGTTAATTTTAAATTTAATTTTTTAAGGAGCCTTCTGTAAAGTACTTTAAATTCCATAAAAATGAGCATTTAATACCGTGACCATGAAAATTACCATTTAATACCAGTTTTAACACCTTGACAAAACTTTACAGCATTTTCGAACTCTTAACAGTTATAAGAATAGCTTATTATTCACTGAAAAGTGAATTTTAAATAGTATTTAGGAATCTTCAGTAAAGTATTTTTAAAAATTTTTTAAGTACTTTTAATAGAGTAATTTTATATTGAATTATCAATTATTATACTTTTTTAAGATCCTTTAATTTTAAACGTAATTTCTGAGAGTCTCTGTTTAGTTCTTTAATTTTTAGATAGTCGAATGGAAATTTTATTTTACAAATAACATTGATTGGAAGATACATATAGCAGCTTTGCAGTTTCTAATGTTTAATTCTAAACATATTCTTGTAATTTTGAATCTAATCATATATTTCTTTCTTTATCAGAAGTTAAAGTAACTCTAAGATTGGCGCAAATTCGCCTTCGTGAAAAACTTTTTAGCGCAATTAATCTACTTTTTAGTTACAGGGAGAAGTGACCCACAAACATCTTCCATAATTAACCCAATGGTCAGAGAACTTAAACCCGACCTATTGGAAATTAAACTAGAGCTGACAAGTCGGAAATACTCTTGAACGCAGAAACTTTTACAGAAGATCCATATAGCAGCTTTGAAGTTCTTAATTTTTATTGTATATACTTGTAATTATGGACCCAACTTAGAAGTTAAAGTAACTCTTGGATAGAGAAAAATTTGCCTTTGTAAGGAAGTTTTTCAGTGAAATTAATGCATTTTTGGGTTAAACAGAAAAATAACCCACCGAATACCTCTTGCAATGGACAATTATAGCATCTCTTACTTTTTTTTAACTTTTAAGCCTAATTCATTAGATGTTCTCTCCTGAATCCAAAAATCTGATCGTTTTTTTTCTTTCCTCAAATGTTTATAAATTTAATTATTAGACATTTAAATTGCCCAAAAAGGTCGCGGTAAGTGATGCAATCAGAAATTATCCCTGATTGGTTATGACGTCACATGTGCTCCCCCCAACCGCTAAGGCTATTTCAATGCTCCTTCAGTTTTTATATCACTTATATCGTATGAGCGTCCTTAGTATATCACTAGAAAAAAAATTTGTTAAATAAGTTTGTGATTTTGAGAGTTTGTGCAAAATGGAAGAAGGATTTTGAAATTTCAAACTGTTTATTTATCACTAAAATAGCTGAAGAAATGATTGGATGCAGCTCTTCACAAGGAATCAAATATCTTTTCAGCTGAAATCAGTGATGTTAAAATTCATGGAAAATATTATTTAATTTAATTTATTTTTATTTAAAATAATGCGTCATTGCAGCCGAATTACTTAATTAAAATCAGTCACAAATTGAATGGATGTAGTATACCTTTAGATAAAGGGAAGATTTTATTATTCGGTATTGCATGAAAACAAATCGGTGTTTTTATAAATCTAGCCCATTAAAATAATTCTATCCATTATCACTACAATCTATGTGTTAATGTTTAAAAACTTAGGTAATGTAATTTAATTTTGCCTTCTTTTTGTTCAAAAAGAAAAAAAACTAGAGTTGAAGGATTTTCCTTAAGTCAATGCATACTAATGCGGTGTATTTCTTTAATTTTTTATACTGTGTATTAAATATTTAAATTAAATACATATTAACGCTCATACCTATTCTCAATATTATTCTTTGAGTAAATAGGAATTTCGATATAGTTAGAATTTATTTTTATTTTTAAATTTATAAATTTTAAATACTTTTTTCTGCTGTAAAGTATTTACAAAATATGGCTATAGTTAATTTTTCTTTTTTCTGCAAACTACTTGTCTGCGCTTTCAAAGAATAATTCTAAAATGATAAAATTAATGCATTATTAATTTTTAGTGAAATTTTTTTAAAATTAAAATAGGTGAAAAAATCTCAGGTTAAGCATTCGGTATCACCGAAAACGGATCAACACTTTCAAGAATCTAGTTCATTGAAATGTAGCTATCTGTTAATCATCACAATTCCTGTTACCAATGAAACCTGTAACGAAAACAATTTTCTTAACTTTAACTTTTTTCTAAATAGTCTTTTGATCGTTGAAATTCAATTCACTTTAATATCAGATTTCGATTCCTATTGCCCCCCCCCAAAAAAAAAAACAAACTGCAATTTAGAAATTAAAATTATTTCTAGATTCTGACATATCTGAGTCAAATAAATGTATTTAAAGATCTACTATATTTTTCTCTTGCTTTTTTAGCCTTGCTTTGAAGCTATCTATTCGCTCTCCATGAGTACAGCAATATTCATATAATATGAAATTCATGTAATAGGAAAGTCTGCAGAATTCTTATAGTCGCAACAGGTTTAAATAGGATCAGAAATGTTCAAAAAATACTCTTAAAATTTTTTGCATGAAAGAAAGGCATTAAATGCTAATTAATTATCGAGCTCTAAACCATGCATATGATACATGATGGTACCAGGTACTAAGAACTAAGAAGTTGGTTTGATAATAATCTTCAAAATTTAATAATCTAAATAATCTTCAAAATTTAGGAACCATGGTAAGATAAGTATAATTCTGACCCTTTTTGTATGGTGAGGTCTGCAGAATTTGTATAGCGGCCACAGGCTTAAATAGGATCAGAAATACTTGAAAACTACTCTAAAATATTATGTATGAAAGAAAGGCATTAAATGATGTTTAATTATCGATATCTAAGCCATTCATATGATACAGGGTAATGCCAGGTGCTAAGTTCTTTTGAATCGCTAAGTAATCCTTAAAACTTAAGAATCATGGTAATGCAAGTACAATTCTGAACCTTTTTGTATGGTGGGATCTGCAGAAATCTTACAACCGCCACAGGTTTAATGTGATCAGAATTTTTAAAAAAATACCCTTAAAATATTTTGCATGAGAAAAAAAGGCATTAAAGAATGTTTAATCATCGATCTCTAAGCAATTCATATGATACAGGGTAATGCCAGGTGCTAAGATCTTTTGAATCCCTAAACAATCCTCAAAACTTAAGAATCATGGTAATACAAGTATAATTCAGATCCTTTTGTAAGGTGAGATTTGCAGATATCTTACAACCACCACAGATTTCAATGTGATCAGAATTTTTTAAAAAATACCCTTAAAATGTTTTGCATGAAAAAAAAAGGCATTATGTTTGATTGGTTTTTGTTGCCATTTACAGCACACGGGTACTCCGATATATTTTTAAAGCCAGACAAAAAAAAAAAAAGAAAAAAAAAGCGATTCTAATTAATAAAGGTGCATAAAATATAACATGTATGAAAAAAAAATGAAATTAAATTAAAATCTAAACAAGTAAATAAAATATTGAGACAATAGTAATTTATAGTAATTCACTTACCTAGAAATCCTAATGGTTTACATCCTTAGGTAATTATTTTTTTTTATTAACACAATGTTGACACATCAAAAACTGGTTGGTATGATGGAAAGGGAAAATAAAAAAAGAAGTAATAATCCATCTTGAAGCTATCCAAAGAATCAAACAATAACAGCAATGCGTGAAGATGATGGAACACGAAATTATATATATAAAAAAAGATGGGTGCCGAGAGTAGAGAAAAAAAAAAGAACTTTCTTTCTCGTAGTTGATTCTTTAGCACAAAAGACAAGCAGTGCTAGGGAAGGGATAACTGCTAACTAGACCGCCATCGTCTTGACACGCTTCTTCCGCAGATTAGCCAAGATCATCAAATGAAGGTAATCCCTCTGCGGTCTTCTTCTTTATCTTCTATTTCTGAGGCACAAGTTCTTCTTTTCGAAAAAGCGTCGATTGGAGGGTAGAAAGTTCTTCTTAATCCGGGAGTGAGGTGCGATGAAAGATTTGGGATTGGTTTTTTTTTTCTGAGATGTATGCTTTAATTAAAGTCAAGAGACCCAATCTTTCCATTTGTTGGATGGCTAACAAGCTAGCCTGAGGATAGATTTACCCTAAGTTAGGTGGAGAAAATTATAAGTTCTGAATAATTGGTTATTGGAAATAATCAGGTTTGTTTTCTTAATCTCCTGATTAAAATGCTTTTTTTTTTAGAAAATGCTTTTTTATTATTGTTTTTCCAAGATTAAAGTTTTTAAGAGAATAGTAAATAATAACCAGTTTCTGGAAAAGTTTCTTCAAGGAAGAGTTACGCAGAAATTATTTTCATTAATGTTTCATGCCGGGAAATCTTTTGATTAGAGGTAAAGAGAAAACAAAATTTATTATTCAAATAATTAAGTGCTTTAAAAATTTAAATTGAAACCAAATTTAGGTAAAATTACTTCTTTCAGGCAATTAGCTTTTTTAAATAATGCTCATTAAACAAACAAAAAATTATGCTACAATTTTCATAAAAATTTTGTTTTTGAAATTAAAAAAAAAAGTGATGGTAAAATTGAGCTTTTTGAACGGTAAAAATTTTACTTTTAGTTGCTACTGGTAATCACTTTTTTAAATCTATGGAGATTCCGTATAATGAAAAGACTTAGTTGCAATTTTATTAGGTATGATATTTTATTGGAGTCATAAAATAATTAGGTACATTTAAAAAGATTTATTTTTAATTTAATGTGAATTTTTCACTTTGTTTTCACAATATATGAAAAACTGTGAATGTTTCCAAAATTTAGAGACAGAAAAATAATAAGATAATTTTCAGATAACATGACTTCTTTTAGGTAATTAGTTTTTTTGTTGTTGAAATAATGACATTTAAAAAAATTCTGATGGCTATTATTATATACATGTTTTTTTTTCAATTCAATGTAATACGTATTTTTATTTATGCTAATATTTTTATAAAAAAAATATTTTTTACATTTAAAAGAAAAATCATGGTAAAACACGAGTTTTTTAAACAATAAAAATTTCACTTTTAGTTACTACTAATAATCTAATAATAACTGTTACTAATGATAATTTAGTTGCAATTAATAAGACTCCTAAAGACCAAAAAACATAATTGCAATTTCATTATATAGGATGTTTTATAGTTATCATAAAACAATTAAATACAGTTAAATAAGATTCATTTTTAAAATAATCTGAATTTTTAAATTTGTTTCCCCACTTTAAGTAAAACTGTTAATGTCACCAAAATTTAGAGACAGTAAACCATTAAATAAACAATTAAATAATTATTATTTAACTAAGAATCATTTTTAGAAATCTTAATTAAATTTAAGAGGCTCTTTACCATAAATATCTGACATAAAATAACAAATATGTTTTAGGCCGTAATATCTACAGGATATTAGCTTCAAATCAACTGCTACGATTGCTTAAATAAAAAAGGTGTTTAAATTAGATTTTTAACTAACATGAATGAGATCAGGGTGGGATAATTAAATTCAAAAATACTTCTTAACATCTTAAGGAATGAAAAGTCAGAAGAAAAAGCATAGGATTAATTTTATATTTGATCCAAAGCAAATATCTTTGTTTCTTTTAGAAGACGTTATGACTTTCACTTCTCTGGGGCGTAATCGATAAAAAAAAAAGCATCTCATCTACCCCTCCCCCAACGATTGGTCCGTAAGACCAGACATCTTCATACAGACAACAATTGTTGACAAATTAATCCTCGTTGCCAGTGTTACCACAGAGTCAATCTTCTACATTTCCTTTCTAATCCTCCTTGGAATACTTCTTCCAAGAGAGAGCCAAATTGGAGATGAAAAATTTTTCCTTCTTGTTCTGCAGCACTCATCGTTCTTTTTTCTTTTGGACTAACCCGTTCTGCACTACTCTCGATTTCTTTTTTGTTCTATTTTCATGGGCTGATATGGCTGGACTAATGATTAATGGTCATCCTTGACCCCACGCGTCGTCTGACCAGGAGTCAACGAATGCTTCGTGCCTCTGCAGATATTTTCTTTTCGTCTCCTGTTTTTAGGAATTGTCTTTTCTTTAGTGGCGATTCTTTAGCTTGTTTTATATCTGCAGAGTGGATGACGTCTCTTTTGTGATGGATAGTTAGGCAGAAAAGTGGCAGACTTTATTGTTCTTCTTTTTGATTGCTTCGAATGGAAGGTATTTTAGTAAAAAGGCTGATTGGGCAAATATGAAATGTCAAGCTGTGATTCTCTCTTTCAGTGAAAAGATTCGTTGATCAGATGGGTGATTGGTGAATAAAACCAAAAGTGGAAGGACTCTGTCTGGTCAGTTTAGATAATCTGAAAAAAACAAGAGTGCAATGTAAATATTTTATTCTATTTTGTTCATTATTTATCAGATGTACTAAAGAATGGATGTGAGACATTTGGTTCTGAAATCAGCTCATTTCATATTGTTTCTGAAATTAATTTGTTTCTTAAATTATTTTCTTTTGCAAGCTATTCCTTAACTTCAAGCGGTTGTAATCAGAAACATGACCTTCTAAATAACATGTAAATATTTTGAAATGTTGTTACATATTTAAAATTTTTTCGTTGTTTAAATTTTTTTAAAAATTTAGAATAAACTTTTAAATATAAAATAACATTAAAGATTCTTCTTTTTTTAAATTTTTAAAAATTTTGAAGCTGTTAAGCCTTTTTAAATTAAATATTTTTGAATTTCAGGCATTTGGTTCTGAAATCAACTAATTTCATTTTCTTTCAGAAATTATTTTCTTCTGCATGCCATTCTTTAACCTCTTCATCCTTCAAAATTACTTTAAAAAGTCTTTAAATTTTTAAAATGCTGCAATATTTTCAAATTTTTAAATTTTTTAAAGATTTTTTATTTAGCATTTGTAAAAATTTTAAAATTTTTGAGCTTTTGTTTAAAAAATTTTTGAAGCTGTTTTTTATAACCACTTGGAGTGATTGCAATTAAAAATATATTCTTCAAAATTATTTTTAATTTTTCTATAAAATTTTTAATCTTTTTCAAATATTAAAAATTCTGATAAATATTTCTAAAATTCAAAATTTTTTTAAATTTTATCTTTCATTTTTAACATTTTTAATGCCTAAAGAAATTTAGAACTTTTAATAAAAAGAAGTTTTAGCACATTTTATTTTTAAATTTTGTAAACTTTTAATAAAATTCAGCTTTATATTATATTGGTTGTGAAACAAATATAAACGTTGAAATATTTCTTTTTCATAAAAAATTAGAGCTTTTCAGTCGTTTTTTTTTTGGAAAGACGTATCACGCACGCCAACAAAATCTCCAATGACGTACTGAACACGTCAGCAAGCAATTATCGCAGAAATAAAAAAAAATTCCTTTTCATGACACAGAAATAATTAAAAAAACAAAACATTATACCGATTTCTATAAAGCATCGAACATCTAATGCCTCGTGGTGAGTTGTGGTACGGCACTTATGTCGCATTAGAGCTGCACAATGGCTATTGGCACCGGGCTGGTAAATATCCCTGAGGATGATCTGGTGACAACATACATAATTATACGACATTCACACACCACCTATCCGCAGATCGTAATTTTGACCAGAACTGGATGACAATCAGTCTCCTATACAGTACCCCCAGAGGTATTGATTTTTTCATGAGAACTTAGAGGACTTTGTGACCCCGATATATTTAGCGTGCATCAATCACCATTTTGTTCTCTGGGAGTCTTCGGCCGGCGGGGATCGATCTCACGACCTCTTGGTCCAACACCTGAGTAGCCAGGCTATTCCGACTCTAATTTCTATAAGGTATCGAACATTTAATAGAGTGAGTTGCAGTCGACTGTTTTGGTTAGCGCATGCGTGAATTTCTTTCCAGCGCAAGCGATTAAAAGCTTTTTTCAAGAAATAGATAAAACCTGCTTTTGTGAATATTATTTTGAAAAAAATAATTGATGATTCATATACTTCTTTTAACTTCCGAAATGTTTGACTACATTTCTGAAGAAACGAGGTTCGAGGAAGAGGAAGAGCAAGTCAGAAACCACTAATTCAAAAGACCACTGGTGAAAGTGAAAGTAATTCAGAAGGGAAAGGTTAAGTTTTTATGCTTAGGGAAGAAAACTTTTCTGGCTTGTTTATATTCTATTTTAAAGTTTACTTTCGCATATTGAAAAATAAATTACCCACCAATTGTTAGTGTAGTATTTACGATTTTAGTTACCATCAATATTCAACTGTTTCTGATGGATTATTAGATGTATGCATGAATATTTAGACAGATCATGATTAGGTTTGCGATATAGAGAGAATATGACTATTTGGCCTCTTGTGGTATGGTAAGGGTAATGGTAGGGATATTGTAAATGATAAGGATATTGTAAATGGTAATAGTATGGATATTTAAAAATAATAATAATAATAATAAATTTTGTTTTTATCAGTTTTTCAACATTCTATTTTAGCGTTCATAGTATTAGCAGTAGAAAGAAAATAGTTGTTAAGCCACTATTCTCGGAATCAACCGTGAAGCACTAACATTGGTTTTTCAAATGCACGGCAGTAAAGCTATATTTTATGTATTTCCCACAACAGTTTTTTTCCAAATGCTATTAAAACTTTAAAAGCTTTAACACGCAGTAACTATTGTAATAATTAATCTCACATTGCGTAAATACTTTTACCATAATTTTAAACCGGGATCTTCTTCCTCTTTACTTACCTCACATCATTCATCAATTCATCCATTTTTTTAAAAGTTATTGATATCCGAAACTGAACCAAAAACTGTTGTGGGGTTAAATTTCAATTATATGTTTAACTATATGGTCAGCAAATACAAAGCACCTTACAGTCCTGTTTACTAATTTTATAATAGGCATTCAAGTTTTGTGTACATTTTTAGATCAGCATACAATAAAAAATGCCTCGTCTGCAATAATGCTGGTGGGTTAATTATATAAACATCCGATGCATTATTTAGATATTGAAATTTTCTTCATTGTTCTGAATAAGTACGTATAAGGCAACAAACAATTTTTAAAATTCAGAATAAGCCGAAAACATTCCCACGCAGCAGCGTCTTAATATATTTTCCCACAACAACCTTCTAAAACGCTATTAAGACTTTAAAAGCTTCAACACACAGAAACTACGCGAATAATTAACCTCACATTAGGCAATTACTTTTACCAGCGTGTTGGCAGCAGCTCCCCGCTCGCTTACCCCACCCACTCATCACTTCAAATTTTAAACGCAACTTCTGGACCGAAAACAAAAGACCTGCCTCCAAGAAACAGCAACTCTTTTAAAGCGTTTACAGACACGCACTCAGGTGAGGCAGTGGCCCAACGACACCACTTAATCTAACATTCATAACAAAACGGCCCGAAATTGAATCGCCCCTGCCTTGTTGAATGCG